TATAGAGAGATATTATTAATACAAACTTTCATTGTTCAAAGTAGAAAATTATTCATCTATAAAGATGGACTATTACAAAAGTAACTACAAAAGATTTTGTTTTTGTTTTGGAGAATATAAACAACTCTACAGGAGTATACTTTGCAGGAAAGATTATAAAGAGGACACCATTTCAGTAGGTTGATCAATTTCCCAAATGTCCATGCCCTAGAATGACTGGGCTGTGTGCTAGTGGAACATCAAAACACCTTTTGAAAAATTATCTGGACTTTTACTGTACTGGATGTATAAGTAGACACTGCTGAGATATAATTGATATAATATCTAAGTTAAAGAGAAACAGTTCCTATGCAATGTTAATGGACAGGTCAAAGAGAATTCTAGCTGCTTTGTCTTTGAGTCTTCAAGGAAAACATTCTGGTTCTAAAATAAAAGTACTCTGCTATAGGATTGTAAAACCTAGGTAAATCGAGTCACAGAATGGCACTGGGAAGATTTGGGGAAGTTCTGTCTTCTGACTCAGTGCCATTCTGTACACATGGCTTCACCTCAAGTTCCTCAAGGGGGACATCACTGACAGTTTACTGGGAAGAAGCTTGTCAAGCCTGCTGAATTCTTACATGGCATTTAAATGGCATTCTTCTGTGGGGGATATATGCCTTCCACTGCAAGAATAAACTGATCTATCCATTTCTTGTTAGTATCATTCTATGCTTTGATGAAGAGACCAGTAACCTGCTTCTCCCTTTGATTTCCACTTTAGTGTTGGTTGCTTTATGGAAAATCCTCAAATACCTGGAGTCCATTTGGAACATGGAGACATTCTAGGCTAACTGTGGTTTGCTGGTTACTGCAAAGGTCAGTTTTTCCAAGGTGGTTTGCAAACCTTCAGGCTTAATAGAAGTGACTCCCATTCTGTGACAACTGATAGCACTGAAGTCTTAATAAATGCTCCAAATTTGAACTTTCCAGAAAATCTGTTCACCTATTTGTTCCTAAGAGTGTTATGATTTATTTCCCATAAGAACCACCCAGTGGTTTCATACATCAAGAGAGAAGTTAGAAGATATTGGTAAGGAGACAATGTTTAATTTGATGCGTAAAATACATTTTTGACATCTTAATGCATAGGATGGTGACTAGTGGATATTTCTATATTGCTGAGAGTAAGTTTCACATGTTCTCACCACCAGAATTAAGTATGTGAGTTGATGGATATGTCAATTAATATGTTTTAATGTTCCATATTGTATATTGATTAACTATCCATATTGTATACAACTATCAACTACCACTAGTTGATAGAAGTATACAACATAAATATATACCATGACTATTTGTTAATTAAATAACAAATGAACAATTACCAAATTTATAAGACAATTTGAAAAAAATTCAGAGAACCATGCTGGATGTGATTGCATGCCTGTAATCTGAGCTTCTAGGGAGGCAGAGACACAAGGAGCATAAGATTCCAGGGTAGCCTGGGTAAATTTAGTGAAACCCTATTGAAAGAAACTAAGAGTAAAAGAGCTGGGTGTACATAGTTCAAATAGTAGAGTACTTGCTAGACTTATCCCAGGCCCTGAGATCAATCCATTACGGAAAAAATATTAAAGATTAGTGAACATAGGCTATCTGTTCTGATAACCTATTTCTTTGAGGAATTAACTCAGCTGCCTTTTCCTCAGGAATCAGTTCACATTCCATATCTCTTCCATAGCAGAAGTTGAGAGGATGTCTTCTCTTCTTGCTTTTGGGGAAGACAGTCAGTCCAGAAATCACCCATAGGATTGACTTTGCTGATCTCTGCATACTGTTTTGCCTGTCTGTCATTATGTTGAATCATATTGAAAAAGAGTGTGTGATTATATTTAAAGCAGTATGACATTGTTACTCACAAGTGTGTGCAGCCTACAGAATTTATGCATAGTGTTTAGCTCATTCTTTTTTAAAAATAAATTTTTCTGATTTGTAAGTTGGAAGCCACATTTATGTGAAGTGGTTTGGCAGATGATCACTTTAGCTGTATTTCATATGAGGTTGAAATGCATTGCTTTCTTTTGCCATCATTTTTATCCTGTGATATGAAGTAGAAGCTCCTCTTGGCTTCCTGAAATTATCACATTTCACAATCAGTTTCTGAGTAAGTGATGATTTTCTGTTTGTCAAATTAAATGTGCTATCTGCTGGTTTTAATCACACAATTCTAATAGTTCTGAATTGTCATTGGGGTCTAGGGACAGTGTCTTCTCAGGTCCTGGGACAGTAGTGATTCTTCCAAAAAGCTGAACTTCCACATTAGTAGAAATACTATTTTCAGGTTAAAGTTAGATACAGTTCCTATTCTACTCTGAGATTGAGTGGGTCTTAGGAAAAGAAAGCATCTGGTCAACAACCACTCACAGGTCAAAAGGGAAGCCTTCAAAGTCCTTTTTAGTTTGATAAATGCCCTGCTATTCTGATAGCTGTGAAATCAGGTGAAAGCGTTCTGTTTCCCTGTACATTCTACTCACATCCAGGTACTTTGCAAACCATCCTTCTCAGTTGATGAGACATCTACCACACTGCAGGATCTGCCAGCCATATACCTCACATCCTTTCTTCCACTTCTACCAGATGATTATAACCACAGCCTTTTGTGCTACCTTACTTTTGTGCTTATCTTATAAAATGGGATACCCATTTTGTTTCAGAATTGACTTTGTAAGTGAATCCCCTTCCTGTCCTGTCCCTTCCAGGGAAACTCCATGATTATGTACATCTTCTTATCCCTCTCATTAACTAGTGTAAAAAATCTTAAACCCCTGAGAATCTGGGGTACTTGATCACCTGATTGAGCTGTTTACTTCTCTGAGTATAATGTTTCTTTTTTCTAATAAGCCTCATGGCATGAAATTCCTCCCCTACACAGCTTCCCATCAATCCTTTTATCTGGCAGATCAAGTAACTGCAGGGTCGAGAACTGTGACCCTCTCCAATGAGAGACAAGATGATCAAACTTGCACTGCATCATGCTCAGAAATTTAAAATAGTGGTACGGGCCATACTTTGAAATTAGAACTTTTGGGGTCACGGTTATCCATAAGAAGGACATTAGTGCAGGGACATGGGTGTCATTGCATAAGATGAATGCAAATCTTGTCATTTCCTTAGGAGGGTAACAAAGACAAAGAGGGAAATTTTTCAAGGAGGTAGAATTGCTACTCGGTAGGTGTATAAAATTGCATAAAGTGCAGCCAAGTAATTAAGGGAATCAAATGATAAAATAATTTCAATATTAATGTCATTATTATTGAGAAATTGAGCATGAGCTTGTGGAATTTGGAATCACATAAAAGTCGTTTCAATGAAGACTATCACATTAGGGCTGGTGGTGTGGGTCACATAAGTTTCCTACCTAACAAACTCCAGTCCAAAGAAATTTTTTGAAAAATAAATAAAGAATCTGCCCTATATTAACCTTGTATTCTTAGAAAATCTTTTTAATTGCAATCATTGTACACTCTGAATCAGTAGGGATACAAATGGGACTTAACTTACTGAGCTGAAGTAAGGAATAAAAATCTTATGTATAAAAAGACAAGAAGACATTCCTGACTAAAAACTAAAATTCTCAAAAACTACTCAATAAATATTAGGGTCATTTGTCACAGCATGATGACTGTTGTATCTCCTGAAATATTAAGATATAAAGAGTGACTGCTTATCAGAACTCTGATGGATTGTAAGCTTATGAAGAACTTTGTATACATAATTATCTCATTAAGTGTATTCTGAATCTGAAAATTCAACATATATTTGCATATTATGTGATAATTGTCTAAAAGTAGAATTATAAATTTGAAATTCTATAATTACATTAAATGATTTAATTCATAGTTTTCTGTTTACTGAACATTCAATGCTGTATTCTGTAGCAACATGTTCTTCTGTCAGTCCTTAGGCAAGGCAGTGAAGGAGTAATAAATGGATATGTCCTCAATGAACGGAGAGCATCAAAATCAAAATGGAAACCAGGATTAAAGGATTAAAAAGTATTTTGGACCAAACATTAATGATTTCAAAGTCTGAACCGAAGTTCTTTATAGATTTCTCAGTCCATGCATACTTTGATTTGGACAGTGGACGTACCACACTATCAGTTTGAGTGCTGTGCAAAGTTATTATTAAGACCGTCATTCCTCATGGATGGCCTCCTCTCAGCTCATTACATATATGTGTTTTGGAGGTGCACTGAAATCGGTGAGAACATCAGGAGACAAACTTGAAACACTTTTATTCAGTTAACTGACTGATGGCTTTTGATTTCTTTTAGCTTATGAGAAGTGTCCCTAATAACAAAGAAGCACAGATTCTACTCCCCAATCAACGGCTCTAATTCAGTCACATGATCAGCGCCCAGGGCATAATGATGTTTGTGGTGTCCACACAATCACAGCATTTCCCACAATTTGAAATCCTGAAAGATTGCAGTGCCTTCATTTGGTGAAAAGTGAAGTAATTTTCCCCAATCTACTGTACCACGTTATGGAATAGTGAGGCAACACTAAAGTTGTCCTGACTTGCAGTCATCTTCCTTCTCCACCCTTTATTCATTCCTAAACACCACATCACTTGTAGCTGTCCAAAGAGCACTGTCTTCAAGGGAGAGGCCAGTGTTCCTACAATCCTGGAACTTGTGAATGCACCCTGACTAGCACAGAGATGACTCACCATGGTGGCCCAGTTAAAGTGTTTCAGTACAATTCGATCAAATACTAAATTCAAACAATGACTTAAAAGAGGGAAATGCTAAGCTTCAGCAGAGCACTTTCATATAGAAATTCTGACTGTCAACTGATGATGCTACTCACTGCTGATGCTGATTGGTTTTCCCACATTCTGACTACCCAACCAGCATCAAAGCAATGAATACCTTGCTTCTCATTATATTAAATGTAGATGGAGAAGGATCAGTGAGGCTTGTCTTCTCCTCTGGCTCCATCTTCTCCTATTCTCCAGCAGGTTATATATGTGGCTTGCTCATGGGAGGCCCACTCATGGGAGATCTGACAGTGATATTGATGGTCCTTTGCTCTCCCCTGGCTATGTCCAGGGACACCTCATGTAAGTCATAACTAAGGTGCTGAGGTGGGGGAAGGAAGAGTGTTAATGTCTCTAGGCTGCATCTTTTAAAAATTGTGCATCCTTACATTTATCCAATGGATCTTAAATTATTTCCACAGGTTAATGGAGTTTGGATGTGTAACCTTTCTATGAGGAGTACATATTGGGACTCTATCAGGGGCATTTATTTCCTGCTCCCCTCCAATAAAACCTCCTCAATATTACATGACATTTCCTGATGTTTTTGGGAGGACTTGGAACTAATGGTGTTAAAATAATTCCCCATGCATCCCTTCACTTTTTTGTGCAGTCTTATTCACAAAAAGTTTTCTGAGGAGTCAAAAGGAATTACTAGGGTCTCTCCTGCAGTATCTTGTGTTATATCCTCAAAGTCTTATAAGATTTCTACTTTAGTAATGTGCTTGGTTTATTGAGAGGTGTCTGCCATTGTCTTCTATCTCTTAACCCTGATGTTTATGAAACCTGTATCTGTGTGTTGCATGTGGTCTGATGTAAGGTGGGATGCATGGTCCAGTTTCCTCTTGTGGAATGCATCCTGCTGCTAAAGTACAAACCCTTAATGCTTAGTATTTTCTAATATATAATGAGTATCTATGGGTTATTCTTTGGTGTCTTAAATACTGAAGGGATATGATGAAAAATTTTGAACTCGTATTACTCTGTGAATCTACTTGAATCTTTCTATACTGTCACTTTATTCTACATTGTTAGAGACTTCGAGAAGGTAAGTAATTTATTGAGGATAAAATATATGAAATTTTACTTTGTAATCCAAAAATAGTAAAATATTAGTAATTTTGTGTGTGCCAAAGTATACAGATGAGCAGAGGTACAGAAAGAATGTGCAAGTTGTCAACACTTCATATGACTGAAAGCCAATAATCCAAAGTTGCTCATTGTCCTACAGGTTTATGTGAGATTTTTTTGGCATTATAATGTCCTATCTTTTCTTCAGTTAGCCTTATCTGGCTATCTCTACCTTCACCTGCTCCTTATTCTGTTCTCATCCAATCATTGCCATGATTGAAAAAACCTGGACCATGCACAAATACTCAGCAATTGAAGAAATCCTTCAAGTTACAAAAATTTCCCACTGTCTGGGACACATAGCCCACTTTCCTCAACCTCCAAAGTGCTGGGGTTGTAGGCATGTGTCTCCAAGCCTGTGCTCCTGTTTTTTACAAAGTTTCCTTTTCTTGTGAATACTGATAATTAGAAAAATGATAAGGATGAAATTTGGCTAAATTTCTCACTGCAGGAGGGAGAGATGCTATGTGCTGTTCAAATAAAACAGTATAGGACTAGAGACCCTCTTCCATTCAAAGATCACCACGATGATCAATTTAACAGACCCTTAGTTGATTCCTTTAGGTCACAGATATTTCCGAACAAGTATTATATTCTGGGATCTGTTCTAGACTCTGATTGTTCTATTCCATAAAATAGAATTGGCCTCTATTCCTAAGGAACTTGCCTAACAAGGGGAAGAAATACAAAATCTCAAAAAACAGAGAACATAGAAGAAAATTTCAGAGAGTAGTAAGTGCTCTGAAGCAAAGTCATCAGGGTGATGAGACACAGGGATGTAGGTTGCCCTAAATTCTGTTCAGGCATCAAGGAATTCTCCCTGAGCACATGGATTTAGGTGAGAATAGAATATGGAGAAGACAGCCTGGTGGGAACCTAAGGGAAAAGTATCAGGGGCAATAGAACAGGGAAACGCTGCTGTGTAGTAAGATGTGTGCTGTTTTGGTTTCATGAAGAAGGCTAGAAAGGATGAAGTGTAATGAGGCAGGTATGGCATAAGATAAGGTAGGGTTAAAGGAATTGAGCAGCCCTCTCCTTGTATGCCCTGAGAACCAGGGTAAGGAATATCCAGTTGATTTAGGCAGACTTGGGTTTACTTAGGTTTACAATGAGTAACAATTTATATTCAATTACAAGCAGAATTGCAGGTGCTATGTAGAAGCAGGCAGATCATGTAGGAGCACAGCAGATCTCTAGGGAAGACAAGCTGTTCTTCAAGTAATGCAATTATTGTTAAGACAGTGATAAAGTGAAGAGTTTGGGTAGGTTTTTTTTAAATATAAGTTATTAATGGATTAAATATAAATTGGGTCAGAATACCAAGCTTTACCTTAAGGATTATGTTTTATGTACATAGATGAATGGTTGGTGGTATTTAGTAATATAGGGAAGACAGGGACACATGAGAATACAGGTGTTATTTATGTTAAGTTCAAGGTGAGAACCAGGAGAAGTACAAGGAAAAAACATGGGCTCTGCTATTGAAGGTCCCACAGACTTATGGAGAACTTGCAACTCATGTGCTCAGAAAAGTGAGAGGATTGTACCAGGCAGTGAGAGCAAAGGCCAATATGAGAAGAGGCTGGGGACAAGGTGCAGACCATGCCCATCATTTGAAGGAAGGCTCTAGGGAGTGTGATATCAGCTAGAACTCAGGGACTGTAAATTTTGAGACCAAGGTTTTTACACATTTATGTGTAACACTTAAGTGGTCTTTTGAATATGAGAGAATAGAGTCCAGGGTGAGGAGACTATGTGTAGGGAACAAAAAGAAGGACGGGGCCAAAAAGGGGATTGAGAAGGAGGACCAGTGGTGGAGAAAAAGCAAGCAAATGTTACTCTTTGAAGTCAAAGAAAGGAAACTTTCCCAAGGAAAAGGCAGTGGTCACCAGTGGTGAGATGCCAGAGGAGCTAAAGGAAGACATGAACGAGAAGTGAGCCCTGGGTTTCCAGGACATGAGTTTTGCAGTCAGTGAAGTACCCAAGACAGAAAACAGATTGAACTCTTTGAGAAGAGTGGAAGTGAGGAAGTGAAGTAGAGATGACTGTGAGTGGCTCTGCAAAGGGAAGGAGTGTGCTGTGGACCATGAGGATACTTGAACTAAAATAATAGAGTAAGGACCCTAAAGAGAAGTGAGAGAGTATATGAAGGGGACAGAGATGGTCAGTAATTCACAAGGAAGTACTGAAGAGCCTTGTCATGCCAACCATTTTGGCCAATGGTTCCAGAGTGGGTCCAGTGAAAATTTAAAGAATGTATGTAGGACAGTAGGCAGTTGCTTTCAGGTAGCTTTATTGCAAGTGGCACTACAGCAGACTGTGAAAGGGAAGGTGAGACAGGCAAAAATAGCCATCCCTGTCTCTTTTAGGAAGAGAACAAAAGTGACCCAAAGCCAGTCACACAGTAGCCTGGGCTCAAAAACATACATACGCTGTTACATAAGTGCACTTTGACATCCATCCAGGGCCATGTGGCCCGAGGTTGCACTCCTAAGACAGAATTCCTGTAGTGACAGCATTTCCATGGTTGCCCTTCAAGGCTGTGCTGTTCTCACTTTCGTTCCCAGGACTGCACCCCTCCTCCCTTCAAGACTACATCTGCATGACTGAGAATGTGGTCTCCACAGGCCCTGTGCCCTAGGTCATGCAAAAGTTCTTTATTCACACAGCCATTATTTCTCAATAACTCAAAAAAAATCCAGTTATTACCCTACTGATGAGAATGCAGTGATGAGCAAAACAAACCAGCTTATCAGTGTGGAGCACTGTCACATTGCACAGGCCTGTGCATTTTGGCATGGCATTCCAATAACTGTGCTGTCACTTCTGAAGCATTTACAAGCATACACACCTATGGAATATAAAACTCAAAGCATTTAATTAACTCACCCGGTGTCACACAGTTAGTGTTAAAATCCAGATTACGTGCAGATCAGAGTATATGGAACATTCCTCCCTTCCATATCAATATACTTTTTTTATTGTTGTGCTATGTAGGGGTACATTGTGGCATTTACAATGGTTCTTACAATGTATCAAAAATATCATACTTGAATTCATCCCTCTACCATTCTCCTTTATCCCCACTCCACCCTCCACTCCTGGAATAGATACTTACTTCTTCTGTGTGGTTCCTGAATGGTGCATCAGTATATGTAAATCAGTGTTTCTGTCCTCTTGTGGTCAAAATGTCAATTAGTGATAAAATTAACACAGACAAATGGCATATCATGATGAAGGTATTATTTATCACAGCAACTTAGAGAATAAACAGAGCTTGTGAGTTTGCATTCACAATAGTGATAAAAATTTAAATGATGATGTGTTTGTTCAGTATTCATTATGTGATCACACTAGGGAGAGTCACTATTTAATGTATCCCTTAACAGCAAAGTTGTGAGGAAGATACTATTCTAAAATCCATTTTAGAGATAAAGAAAAGCTATAGATATTAGAAACAGCCACAAGCAGAAAAGCGCACATTGAGATTCAGATGATCTTATTCTAGAGCCTGGGCTTTTACCCTCCATTAGTGAATGGTGGCTAAATAGGGTGTGAAATGTTGGTAAAGCTTGTGATTGCAGATGTTCTACTGCACGTGTAATGGTGGGGGCTAAATTCAAGAGATGCCAATTACCAATATACACAAAAAATTTAAAACTCTATAGTGGCCCACTGTACATGCAGGCTATAATGGGCATGTCCTGAAAAAAACAAAAATATTAAATCCATTGCTTCTTTGCCTAACATTTCTAAATAAAATACAGGATGCCTAGTTAAGTCTAAATTTCAGATAACAAATAATTTCATTGGATGTCATATATTTTTATTTGTTATATATGGTAACCCTACATTGGGCACATGGCTGGGGATGACTCTTACACAGAAAGCATGAGATCATAGGCCAATGGTGATAACCACAGGAGTGAGAGGGATAGGTGACACTGACTAGCAACTTTCCAATTTTATTTTGTATCTTTGTCACCTGGCAAGAAGGCCTCTAGAGGAGTTCTGAACAGACAAATAGACCTGTTCTGGTCCATAATTCACTTCCAGTGCTGCATTTCTCCAAGGCAGAGGGAGCTTGGTGAAGGTCCCTACTCAGAGTCAGATACTGATCAGTTTTATACACTGTATTTGAGGACACCATCCTCCTTCCAGCTTTTCCCCTT